ATTTAATAATCTGTGTTAATCCGCTGGTGAGAATATGTTAGATATGTAGCTAAGTTACGAACGTTCCAATAACCTCTTGCAGCGCATTCTGTATGTAATTGGAGTCATTAAAGAAACAATAAACGGTACTGTATTCTGCCTTGAATGGCATTGAACGTGGATGTTTCGTTTGAATATATACCGTTAACAGCCAGCTTCTGCTGTTAGTCTGAAATACGTCACCTGTAAATTAAATAGATCTGCCGTAGCGTATAGAATCTGTCTGCGGATCAACGGAGCGTCAGATATATTTTCTCTTGATTGCTCCGATATGATTCTAGTAGCAATTCCCTTTCATGTTCGATCCAACCACAACCAATGATATTGATTTAATAAATTATTTGCCTGCTTCAAAACATTTGAGCTTAAAACCTGTAATTTGTGATGTGTTTTAGGTTTATTAAATGTTAAACGTTGCTGTCCATCAATTCGGAAGCGTAAATTACGTTTATTAGTTTGGCGTCACATTTTTTGATTTGTAATTTTACGTGACGCGTATGAAATTGGCGCGCAGTCATCCTTGCAAGCAGTGCCTCCATTCGTAAAATGTATGCGTTTTTTTTACGTATTTTGTTAGAGGTTCAAGTGATTTCAGACACTATGTTAATTACACAGGCCGAAATGTTCATTTTATGGTGAATTTAATCTCAACTTACGTCATCGATTTTATTTATAAAAGTGTCGAGGATTTTTAACATTCTGTATTTGTGAAATGTAAATTTTAGTATTGATTCTATATTGCATGGACTATAGTAGTTTAATTAAGATTCAAGTTTCTACCTAAAGATGAAGTAATAATGTCGAAATATGTGTTTATCACGCATATAATATGAGCATCGTATTGTTAAATTACTAAATGAATAAGCAGTGTTAATAATAATATGATTTTCTGAGTTGCATATTGACTGATTAAAAATGCATATTAGTTCTAAGTGTTAAATGGTTAGTTCTGTCAAAAAAAAAACAATCTCAGTTTATTCTGAGGACTCACAGGTAACCAATTAAAACGCTATGTGGGGAAAATTTAAGAGTTATTAGTTGTTAAAAACAGTAGTTTTAACTGTAGTAAATTTTTAAACAGACAGTTAACTAGACTGCCATTCAGCCACGATTTGTTTTAATTGCCTGTAGATAATATCTGCCATTAGTTTATAGCTCAATTTGTTAGTCTGCTACTCAGACGCCTATACTCTCTTTATCTGCAGTTACCAACAACAATAATATAACGAAGGTGGAATGAGTCATTACTATAGCAGTTCGTAAATGAGGCAATAAAGGAGTTCACACGGTCTGTCTCTGCCCTCAAGGGATCCACTGC